CCGAGGCCGGGTGCCGGCGGGAGGGCTGCCCCAGGAGCCGGACCGAATGAATGGGAAAGGGACGGGCGAGCGGGGGTCGCGGCCGCGGCCGCTGGGGGTCGCCCTGCGCACCCTGGAGCGCTGCGCCGCGGGACCGCGCGGGAGCCTGGAGCGAAAGTTAGTTGGGATAAGTTTCGAGGTGGCAAGCACTCGTGTTGCTGTCCTGGGGCGGACGGCGGAGAGGGCTCCCGGCACAGGCTGGTGTCCAACCCCTGGGCGGGAGACTTCTTGTCCCAAGGCTGTCACACGGTTTTCTCGCGTACCTGTGACTCTTCCTCCGGCGGGTCCGCTGGTTTCTCTGCCGTTCGTCTACGGAGACCCACCTTGGAGGAAGCAAGGGTGCGAGGCCGGTGCAGATAATTGAGAGGATGCCTTTGTGGTCTAGTGGCCGGGACCCTGAGAGCTTATACTGAGCTTCGTGTCTTCGAGCCTCAGTTTCCTCAAGTGAGAGAGGTGGGCGCACAGGGCCCATGCTGGCTGCCTCTGCCTGTTTGGAAGCACCAAGTGGTGGTTGGACCCGATAACCATTAAGGTCTTCTCTGAAAGAAGTTTTTCAGATTCCAGGGCGATATAACTGAAAGAAAGGGAGCCGGTGAGGAGACGTGAATGACTTGAGTGAGGGGGTCTCTGTCTAATGTCACTGACCAGCTTCGGAGGCAATGAAGGGGAGGGGACTTCTCTATGGGGCATGTCTTCTGTTCCTAACGTTCTTTCCATTGCATGGTTCTCCTTCTGTGCTCCCCCACACCCCATTTTCATTTCATCTACTTACTTTCTTTCCTCCTTACCATTTTCTTTTCCCTAATTTTATTACCGAGATCACATATACATCCTTACAAATAGAGGTGTTGCCAAACCCTTGATGGAGCCAGGAGGGAGGAAATGCGGGGTAGAACATTCGGGTGGTCTCCCCCCAATGCACCTAGTTCAGTGTGGGTGACAGTCCCACCTGCTGGGGGGGGAGCTCCCCATCTTTAAATGAAGGAGAAATTGTTATTACTGCCCTTCTTGTTTTGTATTTAGTATTTGGTATAGAATAATTCTACAACATATAAATTCTTGCTTTGAGGATATCCTGGACAAAGACGAGGGTGGCAGAGGGGTTTGTGGTTGTTTTCATCTGGATGGTTTCAGAGACGGGACGGGTAACACTCCAGGCTGGCAGTGTGGATAGGATATAGCACCCAGCACCTGTGGCAGCTGTTGGAACCTTCCTATCCTTTCTGTCTTAACTCCCCCACCCCCCATCTCCCTCTTGGCCCTTTCTCTCCATTGTTCTCTTTCTTCTGTACGCCCTCCCTGTCTCAATCCTGTCAAAGCCTCCTCTGTGGTGGATACCAGGTTACTAAGACTGCTAACCCCTCATCTCCCTGGCCAGTGGCTCTATTCTTCATGTGCCTCATTGGTTCGTCCTATCAGTGTTGGATCTTTGTTGATGATGAAGCAAAACGAGCAGTGGGTGAGTGGTCGACAGCTTGGCTAGGGCTGGGCCACTGACCCGCTTTATGGCCTCGGGCAAGTCACTACCTTCCTGGATCTCATGTTAATTGCAAAATGAAGATCTGACCTACTGCCTCTAATATCGGGCGTTCTATCCCTTTATGTAGAGCCCATGATTTCTTCTCTTTTCATTTGGCTGGGCATGGAACAGCGTCAGTGGTTCCCTAGGAAGGAGGAAGTACATAGCCAGGACACCAGAGAAACTAGAAATGGTTTCATGTGTGAGAACTGATTATTTCTCAACTACGTAAGAGCAGTGGAAACAAGCTTTTGCCAGCAAATATATAGTGGGGTAGAATTGACCTGGTGTGTTGGGAGCCCAGGGTCAACCAAAGTGCAAAAGAAGCTGTGAATGACCTGAATTTCATTAGGGTTCCAGTTGATTCCTGATTAATGGGGCTAACTTGCATTGACAACAACATTTTGAATTCCCCCTGAAATGGGGAAAGTGGAATCACAGTAATAATGGCTATCCAGCCTGTGTATAAATCCACCTTTGTGACTCTTGTATGATCTTGACCACCCTGTGAGGGAATGGGGGCAGGCAATACTGGTCTCATTTTACAGATAGACTGAGGCCCAGAAAGCGTGAGAAGGTTGTCAATGGGGGCTCAGCTTGTGAGTGGTAGTGATGGGCCTGTTCCTGAAGCCCCAGCATTACACCAACGATTTTTAGATAGGCCTGGAAAAAGACCAATATAGGAAGTTAGTGAAGGACCAGTATCGGCTTCGTATACTGTGAGATGTTTTACGAGCAGCACTTAGGGTGAAGAGATGAAGATTAAAAGTGAAAATTCAACTTAGTTGTAGCTACTAGGAAATAAAATCTGGGAGTTGAATTTCCAGTTAAAGAAATACACGAGTGAAGTTTCACTTTCTTGAAAATGATGAAACTGCCAAAGATATGACATAGTTTCTGATTGGAGATAATGAAGCAAAAGCAAAATGCAGGTTCTTTGTAGCAAGTCTGGACAATTTTAAGATCAGTGTAGAAAGCCAACTCAGAAAATCCCCAAACAGATTTTTTTTTATTCAACAAGGGGGAATGTTGGCGGGTCTCAACTTTCAGAAAAGTTGTCTGAAGATTTAACTTCATTTTCCTTGTAGGGACACAGCCTGAGTCTGGGCTGAGTCAGACCTTAAGAAAATGAGTCAAGAAGTAACTAGAATGTTATCTCAAGAAACTAAGCTGTAGCAGAATGCAGAGAAAACTCAAAATCTCTACAGATGCAACTGCTTTCCTTTCTGAAAGGCTTTTTAGCATTTTTACAACCCGTTTCCATCCCCAAGTAAGCCCACCCAATGCTTGTCATAAAAACATTCCATACCACTGACATTGGAACAGCTGACTTTAAAGTAAGAAGGAAAAAAACCAGTCCCAAACAGCAGACCCCAAGCCCCGAGAGCTCATTAATAAACTTAGCTGGGGGGTAAAACAGACTACACTCAACACTGGTGGAATTCAAACTACCCAGGTAGAGGAGAGCCATCCAGTCATCCAAACAAAGGCCAGCCCAGTGGTAGCTCTGAATTCCATCTCTGAACTACTGGGTTTTTAATCAAGTTGGTTAAGGGAGGGAAAACATGAATGCATGGGAGAATCATAAGCCTCGGGCTTCAGAAGGCTGGTTTCTCAGAGTTTATCGCCTGCCAGAGAAGTATCCTCCCTACGTCTGAAAACGATGGGATTAAATTGATACAGGAACCTCGGTTCTGGCTCACGACACAGGGCTTTGGGAAGACAATTACAGACGTTTCCCAGATTTCTTTGAACACTCAGTGGTGGCGTTGGTCGGCCTGGCATTCTTGCCTCCATTAGTGTATTTCAGACCTTAAGGGGGAGTCAGTTAAGAGGTCAGGGTGATCTATTCCAAAGTGTTTGAGATCACAGAGAGTGGCCAGCCACCCTGCCACCGGGACCCCACAGAGCGTCTGTCACAGAGCCAGCCGGGCTGGAGGGATCCCGGGGAGGCCTCGCAGTTGCTTTATATTTTCCGGGGCATGTTCATGTATTACTTTCTCAACTCCTTCCACAAGTCTGGAAAAATGGGGTGATTGTCATTAGCCTTCTTTTACAGAGGAGGAACCAGGCACTGGGAGGTATGATGATGATACATGAGTAAGTGGGCCTCAAATCTTGATCATTTGACCCCAGTCTAAGAATTTTTGTGGATAAAAGACCCACTTATGACTCCTGAAATGCAGGCAGCAGCTGGAGTGTGCACGCTGAACAGAAAGATCAGCGGTTCATTGCACAGAGTTCATGATTCCCCCCTGGCTCTTTGCTTAGTCTCCTCTCCACCGCTTCTGTTCCAGGACCCCCACCCCAGCCCCAGCCAACCCCCACCCAAACCCTGCAAGAAAGGTTTGCTCTGGCATTTTTGTTTTTGCAGTGTAAATAATATTTTCTATTCTGTAAGTTCAGGGCATGAGTTCTGGAGTCAAACTTAATCCAAGTCCTGAGGCTGCTTCATAGTAACTCTGTGACTTTGGACGAGGTGTTTAACTAGTCTAAACCTCAGTTACCTCATCTGTGAAAGGGGGCTAGAACTTAATTCACTGGGTTCTCATGAGGGTTAAATGAGATAATGCACGTAAGGTTTCTAGCCTGAAGGAGGCACTCTGTTAAATGTTAGTCGCTTGCCAGAGGGCTTCCTGTCGACTAGACTGGGCTAATGACTGCTCGCAGCCAGATTGCGAAGGACGCTCCAGGGCACAGTGTGCCTAGACCGTCCCCACACCCCTCATACCTGGACAACTGACTGCAAGGATGAGGGGACACGGCTGCTGCTGGAGGGAGTATGTGGCAGGCAGAGATTTACGGGGAGCTCTTCCAAATTGGAACCGTGGAACTCTTATGATTTCTACCCTTCACTTTCCTTTCATTGTCCCTTTGGGCTCCCTGGGCTATAGAACGAGAGAGGTAGGTGAGACTTCAGAGACCGTTTGATTTGACCCCCTCCTTCCCCCTTTCATGTACTCGGTGGGGCGGTCTGCGGGGGTCAGCAGGCCTTGGAAGCAGCTGGTGCCAGGCGCTGGGCCAGCTCTGGGTACGGGAACAGTGAAGACACTCAGTCCCCATGCCACAGGACCTCTCAGCCATTGGCCAGATGAAGACTGAGACTCAGCCTAGGTCACACTGTCCCTCAGTGCTGGAGCCAGTCCCAGCTTCCCCTCGGTCCCCAGCCCCAGCCTTTCCAGACACCACGGGGCTGAACAACACCCCCAGGAGAGGTCCAAATTCTTAGTTCCTTGCTTTTCTTTTCTCGGGTCTTTTGCTTCAGCGGGCTTAATCTTTTAAGAAGGGGCTACTGGTCCCTTGTGATGTAAATCCTCCGCCCCACCCCTGAGCCCCAGCTCCTGCCAAGCTGGGCTGAAGAAACACACCTGCTGGCTACAGTTACTATCCTCATTCTCATTGACTTGGATCCAACTTCCTGAGGGAGAAGTTTCAGAGATTTATTTGCTAAATCCAAGGGTCCCTGAGTCTTCGCTTTTACTTCCATTCACTGATAGATACATTCAACTTGATTTCAGATACCTTCCAAGTTTCTTTTCAAAACAGAGACTGAAAATGAGGTTATATAAGAGTCTCACTGATTTTTTTTTTTTCTTTAAATGCTCTTCCTCTTTCAGGACTGTTTGAGGCTACATTTGCATATATGCACACCAGCCAAAACTAATAGCTTCTTGAACTCTAGCCTGAAATGCCACCCTTTATAAATTTCAAGTAGGCATTTTATCCACATCACTGAACTATGTATTTTAAGAACCTGTTTTACTCAAGAGGAGGATGGTGTAAAACAAGAACAACACAGAAGCCTGAGGGGGATACGGCTGTGGTGTTGGGGGCCGCTGATGTGGGGAGACTTGATCCCATGCCCCTAAGTCCCTGAAGTAGTTTGGGTCTCGATATTTCTTTCAGCAAAATGATGCTTCAACACCCAGGCCAGGTCTCTGCCTCGGAAGTCAGTGCGTCTGCCATCGTCCCCTGCCTGTCCCCTCCTGGGTCACTGGTGTTTGAGGATTTTGCTAACCTGACACCCTTTGTCAAGGAAGAGCTGAGGTTCGCCATCCAGAACAAGCACCTCTGTCACCGGATGTCCTCTGCACTGGAGTCGGTCACCGTCAGCGGCAGCGCCCTGGAGATGGCAGTCACGAAAACCGAGGTAGGTGCTCCTCGCAGTGCCCGTTCCTTACATGCTTCCTCATTGTACACCCACCAGGCCAGGCGTGCTCCAGGCAGGGCGCTGCTCAGAGTGTGGGGACGGTGTTCGTCACAACGAGGACCCGGGCGGCCAGTGTGGGTAGCGAGGGCCAGCCAGCCTCGCTCATGGCCCTGGCAACAGCTTCTGCTCCGAGTTCCCTTGTCTCCGACACTTGCCCTCCTCCCCATCAAGCAACCTTTTATAAGACACCTGGAGTAACAGACGTGGCGAGAGGTCTGAGAGCTGGGTGCTGGCCATGCGGTGGTGGCTCGAGGACCTGAGTGGAGGTCTTGGCTACTTTCTGGGCCTTTCCCTTATGGATAAAAGATGGGAGTGTATCAAGCTTACTTCACTGCTGTGATCACTGTCTTTGGTCAAGGGGCGGCAGAACTATGATGCTGTATGCACAAGGCCTCATTAGAGGTACCACCTGTGCTGCATTAACACGAGAGGTCATCATTGCCCTGTCCAGTACTGGACAGTGCAAGGGGAGCCATGGGACATGCGAGGAATTGTCTAAAAATTCTCTATAAATACCTTGAGATAACAGGCTGGAATGGGAAGTAGTAGGATCCCCGTAGAAGAAAGAAAAGCATTTTGCAAGGGTATATGGAGGGTTCCTCAGAGGAAGAAGCAGATGTTCAGTGTAGAGGATATCTGGTGACAGAATATTTCCTGATCTGTGGAAATATTCCTTAGAGCCACCAGACTCATCCACTGATTGTGTGTTTACTAAGTGACCTTCTGATCTTACGTCAGTATGACAGGTGGGTTCTCCTACTGGGGAGAGAATGCACCAACTAATCTCGTTGAATATTCAGGTTCCCTTGGTTGCTGTAATTCTTATCTTAAAATAGGATGCCGAGCCTCTGAAACCCATGGGCATCCTGTGTGCTTGGGCAGCAAGACCCTGTTCTGCCAGGTCCCAGTCTCCTCTGGGAAAGCAACAAGGTAGAATGAGGCAGTGTGTCCCAGAGAGGGGACAGGATGAGGAGCCAGAGGCCTGGGTTTACACCCAGGCCTTGTAGCCTATGGGTCTGGTGACCGTGAGCTAGTGATGCCCGGGCCTCCCTGGAAGTGCTGCTGCTGGCCCCTCCGTACCTCATTTCCACAGCAGTAAGGTCAGGGGGTTGAACTGAATGGTTCTTGAAGGCCTTTTCCATCTCTGACAGTGTACGATTCTGAGATTTGCTCTACTTTCAAGTATTTCCTCGTGTGAGAAAACCCCGAATCCTCTCCGCCCATCCAAAAATATCTGTAGGGTTGTATAGGAAGTACCACAGTTGCTGGGTTCTTGATGAAGAATGGTGAGGTTAATAATGATAGTAACTAAGGCTGACTATATGCTAAACACTGTGCAAAGCATTTTAATTGTATATATAAATATATATATATATCTCTAACTTAACTAATTTGACCCTCCTCCCAACCCTATTGGATAGATAAGATTATTGATCCCATTTTACAAGTGAGGGAAACTGAGGTTCAGAAGAGTATGGTAACTTGCCCAAGGTCTCACAGCTAATAGGTGGTGAAGCTGGGATTCAGAGCCAGTGTAGTTTAAACTCAGATGTCTGCCTGATGTAAAAGGTAGAACTGCCTCTCGCCCCGCTTTCCCCTCGGACTTTGTTTCTCTAAATTGTGAGGCCTCTGTCTCAGTGCACGCTAATAAGTCAGTGTCGTCAAATCCAAAGGACGAGCAATAAGACAGATCTGAAGGGACTGTTGTGTCCCAGGATTTCTTTGGTTTGAAGTGTGGATCCCTGCCCTTTCCTGCTGTCCGGAGCAGTGACGACAGGTGACACGACAAGGTCTGACGTTAGCAGCCTAGACCGTCACCCACTCAAGCCCACCTGTGAGTGCCTCATCCCAGCTGGCCTCGGGCCTCTGAGCCAAGCCCAGTGGCTGAATTTTGCAGGTTCCCCATCAGTCCTGAGACAAAGTCAGGGTGAGAGCCAACTTCCAGAGAGGACCAGAACCTAAAGCAGGACAGGGTTTTGTTCTCTGAGGACCCCCACAGCTGACTCAGGGTGGGGCACAGAGGAAGCGATCGGTCTTTGCTGGATGAATCACTGGTTGGTTCGTGTTCACCGCCCACAGGTGGCACCAAGCCCTGGGCTGATAATGCCACTTTGTTTGGGGAATGCGCTTGGGTTCGTTCCTCTTTTCCAGGAGCTCCATGGGCTTCTTTTGAGTTCATGAAGGAGGTGCGTCCATGCTCTGAGTGAAGATAGACGTGAATGGGGTACCCCTGGGTCTTATATCAAAGGAGAGGCAGGAGAGAAAAGGTGGCTGCGTGATGTTCCTGAGGTCATTCCTGGATCCAGGGGAAAGGACATAGCTAAGAAACAGAATCTGTTTCCTGCTCCGAATGATTACAGTCGTTACTGATAGTTATCAATTTGAATATCCAACTCATTTCAGAATCCAAATGCATCTTTTAAATAAGCTGAATTTTAACTTACTAGTATTGCCGGTGTACTTTAACTAGCGATTCTTCGATTTGCATTCTTCGTTCGTGTGTACGTGTGGAGAGGTGTCATGCAGGAGGCTGGGACTTGACTTTGTCAGCCCTCCTCACCTGGGGGCTGGCCTGGTTTGCCATTTTGCTGCAAAGAAAGGCAGTGTATTTAAGGTGGGTTGCATTTTTTGCCTCCCATGAAGCATGCGGTCTCTTGAATTTTATAGGTAGCCCCTGAAGAAGATGAAAGGAAAAAGAGGCGGCGGGAAAGAAATAAGATTGCAGCTGCCAAGTGCCGCAACAAAAAGAAGGAGAAGACAGAGTGCCTGCAGAAAGTGAGTCGTCCCTGGGGCGCCTGGGTGATGTAGGCGGTTCCGCGTCCGGCTCTTGGTTTTAGTTCAGGTCATGATCTCATGGGTCGTGCAATCAAGCGTCGAGGAGGGCTGAGCGGGGAATGGGCTTGAGGATTCTCGCCCTCTGCCCCCCCCACTCACTCTCTCTGTCTCTCTAAAATAAACAAGTAAATCTTTAGAAAGAAAGAGAGTCCTCCCCGCCTCACCCCCTCCTCCTGCTCATGCCTGTCCACGACCAACCTCATGTTGCCAGCACGAGGGGAGTGAGAAAGCCCCCTGCCCAGAAGTCTTTTCCCAAGAAGGACGTGTAGCTGGTAGCAGAAGGCTGGTGGCTGGAGGAGGGGGGAACAGAGCTGTTAGCACATCAAAGGGGACTCTGGATGTAGAAGAAGCCGGTGTGTGAATTAAAAAAAAAACCACAGATTGTCTGCTGCCCAGATTCCCAGCAGTCTTGGCCGTCCATACACGTCTGGCAGCTTCCAGGCTGCGGGATATGTCAGCCCAGTTAAAGAAGGTTCACTCACCCGTTTTACGGAGAGAAGGAAGCTGCCGGCTCTCAATTGGCTCAGTATGAAAAGCCCTTAATTAATCTCTTCAAACAAGTTATTTCCTTAATCTGCAAGCAGTGGTTACACTTTTTTTTTTGCGTTCTGGTGTATTCTTAACTCTGTTGCCCTTCTCCTCGGCTCATCCCATAGCCCGAGCTCCCCGCTGTGTTCTGCCAGCTCCCCTTCTGCAGGAAGAAGTGCAGGTGGGAAGGGCATCCCTGGGCAGGTGGGGCGGGCCAGGCGCAGTCCTTCCGTGCAGCGCAGAGTCTCCGCCCAGGCTCCGCAGGTCCGCAAGGATTCTGTTGATTGCTTCAGGGAGGCAGTGAAAATGGAGACATTTTGTGTGTTGCCATGTACATTTTTTCTGGGGAGACGAACTTCTCACTGAAATCAGTGACTCACAAAAGACAGAGCACCATGAGTCTGCATTTTTTTCCCAGCAGGGCTGCTCATGGGCTGTTGGACTCATGCAAAGGATGTCTCTGAGCCGTTGGTTGTACTGCATTTTCATTGCCATGACAGTCACAACCCACCCTCAACCCTGAGTGGAAACTCAAGGGCATCTCTGAAGAAGCCTCCAAGTTCAAAGGCTTCTCCAGGGTCTGGATTCTCCCAGACCTAATGCCGCTGTCCCAGCTTTGTGGGGACGCCGTCCCAGGGAGCCCAAGCACTCCCTCTCTGCAGGCCGTTCCCAGCCTCATGAACCCCAACGACGTGTGACCACTGCCACCCTGAGGCCAGCCTCTCTGCACTGGAACCTTGGCTCCATTCCTAATAATTCTGTTGCTTGTTCCCCAGGAGTCGGAGAAGCTGGAGAGCGTGAACGCTGAACTGAAGGCCCAAATCGAGGAGCTCAAGAACGAGAAGCAACATTTGATATACATGCTCAACCTTCATCGGCCCACGTGTATTGTCCGGGCTCAGAATGGGCGGACTCCAGAAGATGAGAGAAACCTTTTTATCCAACAGATAAAAGAAGGAACATTGCAAAGCTAAGCAGTCGTGGTATGGGGGCAACTGGGGAGTCCTCATCGAAACCTTCTACATCCCAAACCCTGAAGCCATTGGAGATCTGACTTCCTGTGCACCTCTCACATCCCAGCCGTGAAGAACCATCGAGGCGGAAGAGCCCTTGGTGACTCAGCTGGGCCTTTCCTCTCTGCACCAGAGCGGACTTTGGACCAGGACAAGGGCATCTTTTTGTCTCAATGCCAGGATTAAGGCCTTAACATTACTGGCTCTTCTTGGATGCTGCAGATGGCCCCTGTGGAGGGTCCTGCCCATCTTCCGCCTGGATTCTACCAAAACCAGGACTCTCACCATTAGGACTCATGCTGAAGAAGAGTCTGTACCTTGGGTGGGTGGAGTGGGGCCACGTCCTGCGCTGCCACGGCCAATCACAGGGGACACAGAGTGAGAACGGCATTTAGCAACGTTGTACAATGGCCAGGGTTGTGCTTTCTAGCAAACATGCTATTATGTACCGGAATTACTGTGTGCAAAGCGTCTGTGTCAAAGCTAGGCATTGTGCTCTCCTGATGTTTGTTTTGCACAACACCGGTGTGATTTTCCTCAGATCTGGTTTCTGAGCGTGTGGGGGTGGCGAGCACCATAGGCGGTGTCTTACAGAATGTTGAGGTGGCCAGAAGAGCTTGTCCACCCCGGGAGAACAGAATTCTGCTGGCGAGCAGGGCAGTTTTGTGTCAACAGAGAAAGCCGCCTTTCCCGTGGCAGCCAGGCATTAGCGAAAAACTCATGGGCATGACTGCAGGTCCTCTGTCTCAAACTCATTTATAATGTCACAGGAAGAAAGCAGGAAGTCCAACTTCCAAAGGGCTAGGACTCTCCACTCAGTGACTTAGGTCAGGAGTTATTTCTAGGCCAGAAAAGCCAAAGAATATTCCATTTTCCTTTTCTCACAGTTGAAAACCACATTCAGTGGAGACAAGTTTGAAGCCCGGTGATGCCTAGGCGTTAGCATTATTGGATGTTCGTGGCATTGTTTGTCATACGGATGTTTGTAGAAATCTGGCCCAGAGCATTTATAACTGTGAGAGGTCATTCACACTGGCCACAGGACTCTGGCTACTGTCTGTTTAAATTCTGACGTTTCTGTGAAATCCTCAGAGTGTTTAATCCTATTCAATAGTATCATTACAATTTTCTGTAAGAGAAAATATTGCTTATTTATCCTAGTATTCCTAACTTGTTGATATAATAAATACTGGAACCAAGACATGGTGAACTTAAGTGTTGTGCTGGTTTCTCTTCCTTTTAAATGGGTTGGTTGTTGAACTCTAGTCATTCCCCACCCCCTCCCTCTCCGTCGAGGGGGAGGGGCGTTTTCGCTTAAAAATTCTCCCAAGGGTCATCCTTTGCTCTTTGGGGTGCCACTGGGCGGGATAGTTGACTTTCCATTCTGTTCCTCAGACTGTGGCATCTGTTGCCCAGTTTCTCATTGACGAGCCCCGAAACACAGCACCAACCAAGTATATCCTTTAGACCAACTGTTTGGTGTTAACATAGAGTTTTGATATAAAATCTCAACTATGTTTCTTTGAATGTACAGATGCCTGAAACGTAGACCCATTGTTCAGCTTGACACTGTACCTTCTGCCTCAGAACATTTCTTAAAGTATTCACTCGATTACATCCATTATGTCCAAATATGTGTCTGATTATTGCAAGTATGTATTTCAAATAGGAGGAAAGAATGGAGGGAGGAAGAGAGGGAGAGAATCATTTTGATAGGTGTGCTAATTCAAAGAAAGGCATTTCACCGAATGGGATTCCTTAGGTCTGGAACAGAACCAGGCTCCCTTGCTCTTTGCCTGTGCACACGGGTATTCCTCACAGGCTAGAAATAAAAACTGGCTATTCTGCTACTAATGTCTTCCTTCAGAGAGATACTAGCTTCATCCAATGTTAAGATTCGTGCACATGAATGGGGAGCCTGCTTCTCTGAACTGTACGGTTCCTTTAAATTAGCACCTGTGACACCCGTGTCCTGATTTTGCTGCTTTATTTGCACATCAGGGATACTTGCCCATCTGTAAAGAGCCAATTGGTGGAAGCGCCCCTTGCCACTGCTTTCAGGAGATAATCTATTTTCTTTAAGGGGGGGGGGCGGGAATCCTTGCATCTACCCTGTGGTTGTAGGTGTAAGTGCCACCAATCAGCTGTTAGAAACTCCAGACAGTTTTTAAGCTGCCAAGGACAACAACAATGAATTGGAGAGGAAGGAAGTGGGTGGTGGCAATGGCCAAAAAAACTGATCCGAAAAATACACTGTATATGGTTAGTGGAACTGAAAGCTCCTTTTACCAAGTGTATTAAAAACAGTTTTGTTTCCTGTGGCCAAGTTTATGTTTTGATACTTTAATAATAATAATAAAAAGGACAAATATCTATTTACCATCAAGTTGTTTAGTTCCTTTTGTTTCATATTCAATGGAGAGGGAAGGTTGGGAGGATCTGAGAGAATAAAGTCGGATGGAGCCTCCACCAGAATCAGACACCCAGTTTGCCAGTGTCTTTCCACGGGCCTCCTGCTGGGGTGGTGACATCACACTGGCGGGTCATGGAGAGCCCCCCCTCTCTCCTGACCTCATCCTTGCCCCTTGCTTTTCCCTAACATCTGGCCTGACACCTCTTGCAGAATCAAGAGTTTTAAAGGTTCTGGCCCAGAGGGATTCTGGAATTAAAACTTTCACTTTCTGCCAAGAGCTAAAAAGCTGTTTTCCATCTTTATCCTACTTTCTCCCCATTGGCTTTGAATAAACCCTTAAAACCCAGACCCATATTGAGCCTTTCCTTTCTTCCCATCCCATACTCTGGTTGTATTCACCTTTCTCTGTGTTTTCATGGATCTACCTGACGTAGAGCCTCAGAGGAGGCCAGTTTTGCCCATTGAGCATCCTTCTGTGTTCTCATAGTGACTCTAACCCCACAAGCTTCTCAATTTGTCCTCTCAAAAACTGCTCTTGGGAAGGAATTCACACTGAGGCTTAAAAGGCCAGTTGAGGATGAATGCTAATAAATGCTACTATTTATTGAGTTAGACGATATGCTCAACACTTCACATGCATTATTTCGTTGAATCCTCACAGCAACTGTTACCCCATTTTACAGACGGGGAAATGGAAAGCTGAGTCACACCGTTGACCTTTCTAAAGGGTTCCAAGCAGGAGTGTATATGTGCATGTGTGTGTGTGAGAGAGAAATTACACACCACATAAAATCTACCGTTGTACCCATTCTAGAGAGTGTAAAACTCAGTACGTTCACAATGCTGTGTGACCATCACCACTATCTAGTTCGAGAATTTTCATTCCCTACAAAGTAAATCCTGTACCTATTAAGCAGTCACTCCCTACACTCCCTTCCGTCCAGCCCCAGGCAACCGCTAATCTACTACCTGTCTGTGGATTTGCCTCTTCTGGATATTTCATCTAAATGGAATCATACAGTATGTGGCCATCTGTGTCTTGCTTCTTTCACTTGGCATCCTGTTTTAGGATTCATCCCTGTTGTAGCAGGTATCAGTACTTCATTTTTTTTTTTTTTATGGCTGAATAACATTCCACTGTATGGATAGACCACATTTTGTTTATCCATTCACCTGTTGATGAACAGGTGTGTGTACTGGAACAGAAAGATATCCTTTATTTTCAAGGAATGAATCCCTAATGTAGGATTTCAGGCATAACATCAAACTGGGAGATTAGAGAGTTGGGAGCAGGTGTCTTAGAACTTCCAAGTAACTATTTAGAAATCACATATTCTGCGGCTAGCTCTGTGGGAGGGGTGATAAGGCAGGAGGTATAATGGTACATGCTCCCCATAGGTGTCGATGCTTCCAAACCACTCCTGTTGCCCCAGGAGGGTGCTTGGTAGGCTCCTGGAATTGAAGATGACATCTCTGCACCCCCCGCACTTCATTTCACTGGGGAAGAAGGGAGGAAAACCAGGGGTCTTAAGAGAGAATAACCAGGTTTCCACACACAGGCTGTTTGTAGAAGCATAAGGGAGGGGAGGAACGAAGATGACCCCCCGTACAATTTAATTCCCAATTCAGCCCAGCCACCACCTGAAGTAGTTGTTTTGGATTCTGTCCATAACATACATACACACATAGAGTCATGCAACTTCCAAGAGTGCATCAGAAAGGTCTTAAATCAGTCTGGTCTGAAACCTGTGGCTGGCTCAAGCTTTCTTTGTGCGGCAAAGTACTGTGGTGGTTCCAAACAAAGGCTTTAGAATCGGGTAGACCTGCGTGCAAATACTGCCTCTTCTGCCATCAGTTCTGTGAAGTTAGGCCAGTGATACCGTCTCACTTTCTTCACCCGTAAAACGGGGCAGTAGCAACAGTACCAAACTTGATGGATTCTTATGGTCATATGTGGAGAACATGGCATGGTGCGTAGGGGATGCAGTGTTTAAGGTTATCATTAATGGCTGCTAGCATCAATGTCTACTGCAGTGTTATGAAAGAGCAGGCCAAGAACCAAGACTGCCAATTCTGGGTTCTTGGACAAAATGAAACCATGAGCTCCAATGGTTCAAATGTATCCCATCATCTTACATTCCTATAGCTTTGGTCCAGTTGCTGAATCTTTTGAATTTGGGGGAGGGGAGAAAAAAGTCCCCACACAAAATTGTTCCATTTGAAGAAATTTTTATTTTGATACCCACCTGAGTCCCTGGCAGGGTAAGCCTGTCCTCTGTGGGGGCAGTGGGGCTTTTGGGGGGAGGATGGTGGCCCTGCCCTGAGGGGGTGTCTGGGGGATGAGAACAAAGGGGTATGTGACAGTGACAGATCACAAAGGGCAGCAGAGGATAAATATGGCTGCGCAGGGGTTTAGGCTGAGAGAGTGGTCACTTCTCTCACCAGGACTGTAGTTTGCAGCCTCTCAGGAAGATTAAAAAAAAATCAGGGCAGAGGTGAGGTAGAGGAGGAACCCACCGTCCATCTCTACACCCTTGCAGAGATTCAGTCTGGGCTCCAGGCACCCACCAGCATCCCCTCTGCCATCCTCAGAGCCCCCAACCCTGACCCCTGTCTCTGGGAGGTTCTGAGCCAAAGGGGGGGCGGTCTGTGGCCTGTGGGGTGGGGTGGGGTTGAGACACCTGCCCCAGAGCCACC